TCTATCTATCTATCTATCTATCTATCTATCTATCTATCTATCTATCTATCTATCTATCTATCTATCTATCTATCTATCTATCTATCTATCTATCTATCTATCTATCTATCTATCTATCTATCGGCAAGCCACTACTCTGGCTGACAAATGAAAATAGATACAAATTCACAAACACAAAAACACCCAAATCATAAGAAAAAAACAACAACAAAGAGGAAAAACCCAGCAAGCCGCCCAAAGATATGGCATACAAAATTCTAGTTTAATCACATGGCTCAGCGAGGAGGAGGATGTTCCTAAAGGCCTCCTTGAACAGCTCAGATTCCACATGTTTCCTGTGAATAAGAACCTCCAGCGCAGGCGCATATAACAACTGCTTGGCTAAGATCTAGAAAAGCCATGGAGGTGTTTCTGTACAGGCCCAGAGCTCATATATGTACAAATAACTGGATTTTCGTGCTTCTCTGTGTTTCAACCCTCCTCCCATGTACCAACCATTTGGACAATTACAAGGCTGCATGTTTTCTTCTTCCTAGTGATTGTGCCTCCCTGCTTGCTTCTAGTCCTGGCTATTCCTCTTTCCTAAGCCTGGTAATACTTTCTGGAGATCTCAAGATTTTCATGGTGAGAATTTACTCAAACCCCCATTGGGATTTTCTATCTGTTTGCACCTGCTTTTCTGATCATCCTTCTGGCTGGCTGCCACTCCTCCAGGCTTCCATGACACAATTTTTTCATATGTTTACTTTTGAATTTGTAAATCTTTTATGAGGTTAAATGGGATTCAATGTTTTTCCAACTCTGTCAGCAACAACAAAAACAGAATTCCTCTTGTGTGCTTGATTCATTTCAGTAGAATCTAATGCTGCTAGAGTTTTTTTTTTAAAGGATAAATCTGAAATCACCAACTACTTACTTATACACTCTTCTGCTTTTGAGAAAATCCCCCAGTAGTCTAAGGGGAAGATAGTTAGCAAGAAGCACTAAAAAGAATGTCTCATTCCTCAACATGCTTATTTAATAAACTGCTTGTTACATACATGTTGGTACAAATTTGAGTCTGGTTGTTATAAATGATGCTTGTTATAAGAGCTCTTTCAATATTACTTGTACCGAGCCATTTGGAACAGAGAAGGAGTTACATATATGCAGAGCACCCACATATATGCAGTTACACATATGCAGAGCTTGTATAAAGTCATATAGACTTTGTACAAGCTGGCAGAAAGGGCTACAGACTTTCCAGCTGGTGGAGTGTACTCAAGCTCCTCATCTGGTTTCCTCATCTAATTGGGAGCTTCCTTCCTAGGCTATTAACAGTTATTTGGGAATTC